CCCTCATTTTTTCACTTACACACTCCCATATAGTAAAAACTGCAAAAGTACAAAAAATGATAACACATTGATAAAAGACTTGATGTTTATATTTTGGGGGTCACTATAAAAAATATTTTTAGTGTATTTTAAAAGAAAAGTAAAATGGTGATTCAGCGGTAGTGTATGTGTGAATTCAGTGACAGTGACAGAGCGTAGGAGAGAGAGAGTACACACCTTACAGTATGTCGGGGATGCAGACACACAAACACCACTGTCTCTGTTTCCTGTTTCTGGTTATATACAGCAAACGACCAGCTGGAATGTCTTAATGAGGACAAGAGATCTGAGAAGCAGATTCACAGACACCCTGACCTTCAGAAAATAGCCATAATCAAAATTATTGCAGTTATGAAGGGAATGATTGGATTGTTAATTCTGGTCCTAACAAATCGACTTGAAGGTGAGAATATCTGCATGCACTGTGCAAATGTCTTAGGCAGCAAAAGGAAATTATGTTTAAAGTTATTTAGCTGTGCAGTAAGTGTATATTTGCTCATAATACTATGCTTTATTGTAAATTCAACAGATCAACTTGAAGGTAAAATGTGTAAATATGTTAAATAATAAATATTATGTTATACTATACTATGATAATGGAACAATTTGAAAAGAAAACCTTAACATTTTTAAGGATGTTAGTGCAAGTGTTTATAGTTTTCATTAAGCTGTCGGAACAAAAAAATATAATGTGAAAGATAATTTCAGACAGTGATCTGTCTATTATCTCGGAGAGGTAAGACAATATTTACTAGTTTAGATAGGGTAAGGATATAAACTTGTTTTTGTTCTGTTTTAGCAAGTGTTTGTGTGGCATGGAGATTCTGAATAGATGGATAATTAAAACTAATCAAACTAAAACCTCCTTTCAGGATCTGATGATGTTTGTACTGTGGAGGTTCGAGTACCACGACATACCAATACATCAGCTGGAGAAAACTCACCAGTGACACTGCACTGTCCAATAAAACACTGTGGATGGAGACCAGCAGTTACATGGTGTAAAATCTGGAATCTTACACACTGCATTACTGTAAATCCAACAGACAACATTAAAATACAATGGAAAAACAATGAAACTGAGCCAAGTATCATCACCTCAGAACTGATTTTCACACGTGTGTCCATGGGAGATGCTGGTCTGTACAGGTGTGGTGTTTATGGAACTGTGACTGCTGTCAGTCATGCCATTAATGTCTCTGTCACAGGTAAGACAAACTGTTCATACAAACTGCTCTTTTCCTGCATATTAAAAATAAGAAATCTCTATTGAAAATAAGAATCTCCAAATGGGGTGAGATTAACCCCTTATCGTTGTTTGTAACATAAGAAAAATATCCTAAAATAAAAAATAAAACAATAATAACAATAATAATAATATTAATGATACTGATAATTGATTAAACACTGCTTAAACTTGATTAAATATTTTACAACATGAAACAAATGTTCAAGCTATTTGTGAAAAGTGATATTTGCGCCTGCACATGTAATGTACCTTCAGATGGGTAATGAAGTGAAATATTTCTGAAGTATTTCTATGGCGTTCTGACCCTGCTCTGATTTTTCATGCTGCTAACTTGTACTGCCTGTGCACGAGCCAGAGTGAGGACATTTACGTCCATGTAAAACAGAGTAAATTACCGCGCTGAACACATGGCTGTGGTCTCTGGTCAACAGAGGGACCAGCTGATTATTCGGTACCTTCTTCTTTTAGAAAATGTTAACCAGTGTGCTGTGGAGATTCTGAAACGATGGAACACGGTGATATTGGCTGTGGAAAAGTCCGCAGTGACACTGAACTGTCCAGTGAAGCACTGTGGAGGGACACCAACACTTACATGGTGTAAAATGAAAACCACGCTCTACTGCATGACTGTCACAGAGACAGACAAGATTAAAATAGAATGGAAAAGAGACAAAACAGATCCAGACATCAGCACCTCACGGCTGGTTTTTAAACATATATCCATGGAAGATGCTGGTCTGTACAGGTGTGATGTTTCTGGAAGTGCGCCCCCTGTCGGCCATTGCATTAACATCACTGTTACAGGTAAGACAGAAATCCCTCAGCTCCCTGTTTTCTATGCGTTTTAGATCATGTCAGGACACTAAAACGATGAATATTATTTTTCAGTGCTGCCTGCATACGGCCCACGGAGTGAGCTTGTCGCTGTGCTGGATTCACAGCTTCATACTCCAACCAGACTGAAGCAGAATCAACTTCATTCATCAGGTACATTGAATTTATCTTGGTGTATTTGGTCCTGCTCAGCATGGAAACATGATGATAATGACTGTGTACACAGCAATGTAACACGGTGGGCTATATTTTTAGGATCTAACGCAAAGCAAAATTTCGCTTCGTTTTTGCAACATGTATGGCAACAAACAACGTGGCACAAAAAATGCTGCGCATTTTCAGCAATCCAAATTTCTTTCAATTACACCACCTACTTAATTCTGACATTTTAATGATACGTATCGGTTTGTTCTTTGCTTATATACACTGCTCAAAAACATTAAAGGAACACTTTTTAATCAGAGTAAAGCATTAAGTCAAACTTCTGGGATATTGACATGGTCAGTTAAGTAGCAGAGGGGGTTGTTAATCGGTTTCAGCTGCTTTGGTGTTAATGAAATTAACAACAGGTGCACTAGAGGGGCAGCAATGAGACGACCCCCAAAACAGGAGTGGTTTGGTTTAACAGGTGGAGGCCACTGACATTTTTCCCTCCTCATCTTTTCTGACTGTTTTTTCACTAGTTTTGCATTTGGCTACAGTCAGTGTCACTACTGGTAGCATGAGGTGATACCTGCACCCTACAGAGGTTGCACAGCACAGTCCAGCTCCTCCAGGATGGCGCATCAATACATGCCAATTGCCAGAAGGTTTGCTGTGTCTCCCAGCACAGTCTCAAGGGCATGGAGGTGATTCCAGGAGACTGACAGTTACTCTAGGAGAGCTGGACAGGGCCATAGAAGGTCCTTAACCCATCAGCAGGACCAGTACCCGCTCCTTTGTGCAAGCAGGAACAGGAGGAGCACTGCCAGAGCCCTACAAAATGACCTCCAGCAGGCCACTGGTGTGAATGTCTCTGACCAAACAATCAGAAACAGACTTCATGAGGGTGGCTTGAGGGCCCGACGTCCTCTAGTGAACCCTGTGCTCACTGCCCGGCACTGTGGACCTCGATTGGCATTTGCCATAGAATACCAGAA